ATTTGGAGAATTTTAGAGAAATTACAAATAATTGCAGAAATTCAATTATTTTCAAAAGTAATAAAATTTTTCGCAGAAATTGAATTATATTTAAAAATTTTTTTCAATTCTCGTCAAAATTTCAATTATTTTTATAAATAATAAAATTCTTCTCTGAAATTCAATTATTTTTAAAAAAATTTAATAAAATTCTTGGCCAAATTGCAATTATTTTCAAACATTTTCCTTCATTCAATAATTTTTAATATCTACTATTTTAATTAAATTTTCCAAACTAATTTACTTATTCTAAAAAAAGAAATAAATTTCTACGCAAACCTGTAATTATTTTCATAAACTAATAAAAATTTCACAGGAATTCAATTACAAATTTCTTATAAATTTCTTCGCAATCATTCAATTATTTTCTAAAATAATAAAACTCATTGCAGAATTTGAATTATTTTTAATATTTTAATCGAATTCCTCGAAAAATGTAATTTATTCTTAAAAATTTTATTAAAATTCGTCCATAGAATTCAATTATTTAATAATTTATTGATGAAATTCTTTATGAGAATTTAATTTTAAGAAACATAAAATTATTCAATATACTTTTTTTTGTATTTAAATAATTTGAATTCTAGTAAAATCTTCTAATAAAATTTGATTTAAAAATGGATTTCAGTTAAAACTTAATTGGATTATAATTGAATATTAAAAACATTAGAGCGTGAATTTTTAGAAATAATTGAATTTTGAATCTCTGAAAATCTGAATTTTTCATACTTTTAACTAACAATTCGGCAGAATTAATTTTTTTGAAAAAGTTTAATTGAACTTTCTTAAAAATTATTTCAATAGTTTTTATTTTCTAATATATTTAATTAAAGAATTTACGAATTATTGCAATTTTGTAAAATTGAATTGTAAACAAATAATTTTTAAAATTCTTAAAAAACTTTTTCAAAAATTATTAAAAATAGTGCAAGTATGTAGGTGGTCACTTTTTCTAAAAAATATTTTCTAATCCTTTCTGTCTAAAAAAAAGCGATTTCGAATGAAATATGAATTCTAAAAAAAGTTTTTCTAACAAGTTTTGATTTCTAAAAAAAGTTTTTCTAAAAAGTTATGATTTCTAATATTTATTTTTCTAAAATTTATAAAATTCCATAATTTTGATAAAAGTTTGAAAATTATTTTTAAAAAACTAAGATTAAGAAATAGAAATTATTTGACATATTTTCTGTTTCTTAATCACAATTCTGTTTATACAAAATTGTGTTTTTTTTTGAAAAAAAGAAAGAAAAATGTTATAAAATTACTATTTTTATCACAATTTGTTAACAATATTCTGCTCTTCTTTGAAAAAAAAAATAATAATTTACATTATTTTTATACCAAAATTTCCAAAATTAATTTATTTATAAAACACTTTTTAGAAAATTTAAAATATCTTTAGGGAAAAAATCCCTATAATTTCTATTTGTTAATTACGATTTTTAACTAGATTATTTAAAATTGAATTAAAAATAAATTTTCAAAAATTATTAAAATTAATGCACTTATAGAAGAATTTTAGTTAAAAACACGAAAAAAAGTTTTATTTTTGAAAAGTTACAAATGATTTCAGAAATTCAATTATTTTCAAAAGTAATAAAATTCTTCGCAGAAATTCAATTATGGTAAAAAATTTAAACAAATTCTCATCAAAATTTCAATTATTTTTATAAATAATAAAATTCTTCTCCGAAATTCAATTATTTTCAAAATTTTTAATAAAATTCTTGGCCAAATTGCAATTATTTTCAAAAAATTTCCTTAATACAATAATTTTTAATATCTACTATTTTAATTAAATTTTTCAAAAGAATTCAATAATTTAAAAAAAAATTTAATAAAATTTTACGCAAACCTTTAATTATTTTCATAAAATAATAAAAATTTTACAAGAATTAAATTATTTACAAATTTTTTATAAATTTCTTCCCAATCATTCAATTATTTTCATAAATCATAACATTTTTACATGGATTCAATTATTTTCATAAATAATAATAAAATTCTTTTTAGGAATTCAATTATTTTCATAAAAAATAAACCTCATTGCAGAATTTTAATTATTTTTAATACAATTTTAATCGAATTCCAAGAAAAATTTAATTATTCTTAGAATTTTTTATTAAAATTCGTCAAAAGAATTCAATTATTTAAAAATTTGTTGATAACATTTTTTATGGAAATTAAATTTTAAGAAACATTCAATTTATTTTTGTATTTAAATAATTGAATTCTAGTAGAATTTTCTAATAAAAATTGATTTAAAAATGGATTTCAGTTAAAATTTCAGATTTTAATTGAATATTAAAAGCATTAGAGCGTGAATTTTTAGGAATAATTGAATTTTGACAATGTTTCAATTTAAAATCTCTGAAAATCTGTACTTTTCATATATATAACTAATAATTCTGTGAAATTAATTTTTTTGAGAAATTTAATTGCAGATTTTTTAAAAAATTATTTCAAGTTTTTATTTTCTAATATAATATTTAATTGAAGAATTTACGAATAATTAAAATTTTGTAAAATTGAATAGTAGATAAATTAATTTCAAAAATACTCAAAGAGCTTTTTTAAAAATTATTAAAAATAATGCACTTATAGAAGAATTTAAGTTAAAAACACGAAAAAAAGTTTTATTTTTGGAAAAGTTACAAATTATTGCAGAAATTCACCTATTTTCAAGAGTAATAATATTCTTCGCTAAAATTAAAAATTCTTAAAAAATAATAAAATTTTTCTTAGGGATTTAATTATTTTCACAAATAATAAAACTCATCGCAGAATTTCAATTATTTTTAATACAATTTTAATCAAATTCCTCGAAAAATGTAATTATTTTAAAAATTTTTTATTAAAATTCGTCGAAAGAATTCAATTATTTAAAAATTAGTCGATAAAATTCTTTATGGGAGTTGAATTTTTAAAAAAATTTAATTATTCAATAAAATATTTATTTTTGTATTGAATAATAATTTTCAGGAATTACTGGATAATTATATTTATTTCATTTAATTATTATTTAATTTTTGTATTTAAATAATTGAATTCTAGTAGAATTTTCTAATAAAAATTGATTCAAAAATAAATTTCAATTATTTGAAGTTTTTTTCTAATATATATATATATTAAATTGAAGAATTTATGAATAATTGAAATTTCGTAATATTGAATATTGTAATCAAATGGATTTTAAAATTGTCAAATACTTTTGAGGAAATTATTTAAAATAATCGATTTAAAGAAGAATTTTAGTTAAAGATTCTTGTAAATAATAATTGAATTGTAATTTATTTTATCACTGGACCATCTTTAATTATTATAAAACATGAAGAAATTGATCACTCCGAGTCGAAGACTCGGAGTTATTGATTTCTTCATGTTTTATAGTTATGAAAAATTTAATTTATAGTTTTAAGTAAAATGTTCTTTAATTTTTCATTTTTGTTCCGTAAAGTTCGTATTTTTAAATACTTTCACTGGTTCGAGCCCTGAATATATTAAATATTGAATTAAATTAATTTTATTAATTAAATTATAATAATTAAATTAAATATTCAAATATTCGAATATAATTTATTATTATTAATATCCAGAGATTGAAAAATGATGAAAACCATATTTATGAGTTTAAATTAATACCCCAATTTTGAAATAGTTGAGTATTATTTAACATTTTGATAATCAGCTGCAAACTCTAGCCTGATTTACTTTTCACTTTTCGCTTCTGTGTTGAGTGTTCGGCAAGCAACAATGAAAGCCCATGAAAATAAATGTCCTATTTGGCCTACCCGGGCCAGAATTATCAATTAATCGATACTCGCTCCAACTCGCGTGACTTGTGCTGCATAACCACAAAATGCATTATACGTATAATCTTTTGCTTGATATATGGATTTATGAATAAAGAGATTTTAGAAAATAACAAACACATCAGTATAGGAAAATAAATACAACTTTTAATTCACCACCACACGTTGTCATGAATATTTAATTATCCGCATGGAAAAGTAAAATTTACATATTATAATTATAATATATATGACGTGATGTTAATTAAATTCAACTAATGTTATAAATTTTAAATAATTAAATCATCAATAATTCTCGTCACTTCACTATACTGTTATATGTATCCATATTATTAAATTCAAGTAAATCTTTTTTCGCTGATTCAAATATGCGCAAATGCTTTCATTCAAAATTCGAACAAGGATTAACAATGATTAAATGAAAATGTTTATATTTCTCCACTAAATGCTTTTTTTAAATTCAACAAATATTTTATAGAAACAAATGGCAATTTTCAATTCGTTGATAATTCAAGACTTGTTTTTCTATTTCTGCGCGAATTATAATGTCCACCACTGAAGGGTAAATATCGCTAATATTAATTTCTAAATATTTAATTAGAAATTATGTTTACAATTTATTTCTTCAAATTCTTTTTTATTGAAAGAAACTTTTCTATTAAAATTTAACTATTATATATATATTTGTATATATTGTGTATTATATACTATAAATAATTTTTGTAATTGTAATAAATTTTATTATAATGGTAATTAATTATTATTTTATGATATAAGTGTTATTAATTTAGTTATAAGTAATAATTATTATATTGTAGCAATTATTTATAGTATAAGTCTCTTAATAAAATAGTCTTGTTCTTTTAAATAAAGTATGATGTTTCTGTAAATGTAAAGTTGCACATTGTTTACGAATTAAAATTTATTTTGCACAAACGTTGATTTTTTAATTTATATTTTTAAACCCATTTGTAATAAAAAATTTAAGGCACAATGGGTACTTCTTTTTTTTGGCACAATCGCTACTGTTTTTGCACCTCTTTTTTTGATAAAAATTAAAAATTTTTGATGTATTTTCTAGATTTTTCTCAATGTTCAATTTATTTGAATTTGTTTCTTTTTTTTAAAAAAAATTATTGAATCTTGCAGATTGGTTTCCGAAAATGTGCTCCTGTCTCGACAGCGGTGGAAATTTGCCTGGAAATCGTTCTTCTGGTCGAACAGGAAGTTACAAGCGACTTGGTTCCACTTCCACGATTTATGGTCTAAATAATGTAATGCACAGAGCTCGAAGAAAAGAGAATCAAGTGGAAGAGGAGACGTCCGATAATGAAAAACAGGTTCGTTTAAAAATGTTTTATTTTCTTTTCCGACTATTAGACGTCGATATATTGACTTAATTGAAAATATATACAGAGCTCGAGCCGCAGTGAAAGTATTTAAAAAAATACGGACTTTATGGACCAAAAATTAAAAATTACGGACCATTTACGGACCAACTGACAAAAATAGAATCTGGCCGAATCAAATAAGAGAACATTTTACTTAAAACTAGAAATTCAATTTTTCATAGTTCTATAAAACATGAAGAAATCGAAACTCTGAGTCTTCGACTCGAAGTCATCGGTTTCTTCATGTTTTATAATAATTATTAATAATTATTAAAAAAAATAATTTATAATAATTAAAATCATTATCAATTCAATTATTATTTTTAAGAATTTCAAACTAAAATTTTTCGATTATTTTTTTAAATTTTCAAAAAAGTTCTTTGACAATTTTCAAATTCATTTCTTTACAATATTCAATTATACGAAATTTCAATTATTCGTGAATTCTTAAATTAAATAAATATTAGAAAATAGAAACTAAAAATAATATTAAAAAAATCAATTAAACTTTTTCAAAAAAATTAATTACAAAATTCAATTATTTTTTTAAAATTCACGCTCTATTGCATTTAATATTCAATTATTATCTAAAATTTTAACCGAAATTCATTTTTATGAAATGAAAATCAAATTTTTATTAGAAAATTCTACTAGAATTCAATTATTTTTAAATACAAATAAAATGCAAATAAATAATTTATTGAATAATTGAACGTTTCTTAAAATTAAATTCCCGTAAAAAATCGTTATCAACAAATTTTCAAATAATTAAATACTATCAATGAATATTAATAAAATTTTTAAGAATAATTACATTTTTCGAGAAATTCTATTAAAATTGTTTTAAAAATAAATAAAATAATTGAAATTCTGCATTGAATTTTATTATCTATGAAAATAATTGAATTCTTGCGAAGAATTTTATTAAAATTTTCAAAAATAATTAAATTCTTGTAAAAAAATTAACGGAAATTCAATTATTTTTAAAAATTTTAATAAAATTCTTGGCATAAATTAAAAGTAACAAAATTCTTTAGCAGATCTTCAATTACTTTCAGAAATTTTAATAAAATTTTTCGCAAGAATTTAAATATTTTCGTAAAATAATAAAAATCTTTGCGGAGATTCAATTATTTTCAAAAGTCTTAATAAAATTCTTCGCAAGAATTCAATTATTTTCAAAAAGATCAGAATTTTAGCAGAAATTCTCAAACATTTTAAAAAGTTTTGATAAAACTTTTTCTGGTAGAAATTCAATTATTTTTAAGAAAATTTAAAAAAAAAATGTCTCAATAAAATTCAATTCTTTTTAAAATTTTAATTAAATTCTTCGAAAGAATTCAATTATTATAATCTAAGATTTTAACTGAAATCTATTTTTAAATCGATGTTTATGAGCAAATTCTACCAGAATTCAATTATTTAAATACAAAAATAAATAATTTATTGAATAATTAAATGTTTCTTGGAATTCAATTCCTCTTAAAAATTGTATCAACAAATTTTTAAATAATTAAATTCTTTGGATGAATTTTAATAAAATTTTTAAGAATTTTTTCGAGGAATTCCATTAAAATTCTATTGAAAATCATTGAATTCCTAAAAAGAATTTTATTATTTACGAAAATAATTGAATCCCTGTAAAAATTTTATTAATTCTGAAAATAGTTGAATGATTGCGAAGAAATTTATTTTAAAAAATTGTTATTAATGAAATTCTTGTAAAATTTTTATTATTTTTTGAAAATAATTATAAGTTTTTTTAGAATTTTATTAAATTTTTTTTTTAAATATAATTAAATTCTTTTTGTAAATTTTATGAAAATAGTTATGAAATAGAATTTATGAAATTGAAAATAGTTATGAAATAGAATTTATGAAATAGAAAATAGTGAAAATAGTAGATATTGAACAATATTTAATTTTTGCGAATAATATTATTACTTTTAAAAATAATTCAAATTTTGCAATGTATTTTATTAAAATTTTTGAAAATAATTGAATTCTTGTAAAAAATTAACAGGAATTCAATTATTCTTAAAAGTTTTAATAAAATTCTTGGCATAAATTAAAAATAACAAAATTCTTAGCAGAACTTGAATTACTTTCAGAAATTTTAATAAAATTTTTAAATAATAAAAATCTGTGTAGAGATTCAATTATTTTCGAAAGTCTTGATAAAATTCTTTGCAAGAAGTCAATTATTTTTAAAAATATCATAATTTTTAAAGAAATTCAAACATTTTAAAAGTTTTGATAAAACTTTTTTTGGTAGAAATTCAATTATTTTTAAGAAAATTTTTAAAAAATGTCAATAAAATTCAATTATTTTTAAAATTTTAATGAAATTCTTCGAAAGAATTCAATTATTATAATCTAAGATTTTAACTGGAATCTATTTTTCTTTGGACGAATTTTAATAAAATTTTTAAGAATTTTTTCGAGGGATTCGATTAAAATTCTATTGAAAATAATTGAATTCCTAAAAAGAATTTTATTACTTACGAAAATAATTGAATCTCGGTAAAAATTTTATTAATTATGAAAATAGTTGAATGATTGCGAAGAAATTTATTTAAAAAAATTGTTATTAATGAAATTCTTGTGAAATTTTTATTATTTTTTGAAAATAATTAAAAGTTTTTGTAGAATTTAATTAATTTTTTTTTTTTTAATAATTAAGTTCTTTTGGAAAATTTTATGAAAATAGTAGATATTGAACAATATTTAATTTTTGCGAAGAATATTATTACTTTTGAAAATAATTGAAATTTTGCAATGGATTTTATTAAAATTTTTGAAAATAATTGAATTTTATTACTTTAGAAAATAATTGAATTCGTGTGATAAATATTGTTAATTATGAAAATAATTGAATTTTTTTAATGAATTTTAATAAAATTTTTGAAAATAATTGAATTTTGTAGAAGAATTTTGCTATTTATTTATAAAGATAATTGAAATGTTGACCTTTTTTTACATTTTTTGAAAATAATTGAATTTCGGAGAAGAATTTTAATATTTCTAAAGATAATTGAAATTTTGACGAGAATTTAAAAAATTTTTTGAACATAATTGAATTTTTGCGAAGAATTTTATTACTTTTGAAAATAATTGAATTTCTGCAATCATTTGTAATTTCTCTAAAATTCTCCAAATTATATCGTACAATTTACGAACTTTTCATCCTTTTTGAATAAAATTACGGACTTTACAGACCTTTTTTTCAAAAAAATGGACTTTTACGGACTTGAAGCAAAGTTACGGACTTTTTCAGGATTTACCTACTCCGAGTCCTGAAATATAATTAAATTTTGGGTTCAGTATGATGAATTAAAAATTATCAATTTTAAATGCTGTTTATGTTTTAATTCATAAAATCATAATTCTTCATAAATTATTTGGTAATTGTTTATGTAGATAAATTATTCAGGCAACAACTAAATAAATAGACTTTCATTTTTTTTCCATATTGGCTTAGTTTATATTTATAAAACTTGTTACAGGAAATTATTTAAGAACATTAACTCTTTTTTTTTTGCTGAACAATTTGTAGACATACTTTTCCGCTAAAGAAGTAACTATTATGCAAATACTTTTTTTTAACACCTTTTGCTATTGATTACTGAACTTTATTACCATCATCACTTTTCAACTTTTTCTTTTAGTGTCGTAATGTCTTTTAATGACTTGTATTTAGTGTGAAAATATTGCTGTAAATTATTGTAAATATGCATCGGGAAATTGTATTTCTAATTTTCTATTTTATTTTTCTTCATAAATAATTGCATTTTCTATTCACAAAAGTGAATAAAAATTTATTTTGAAAAATAAGTTCTTTTGGAAATTATAATTTTTTGTCTATTTAATTATTTTCTAATTGAAATAATACATGTCTGGTGTTTTTTCTAATTAGGAAGAATTACGTTTTTACAATGACGATCTCTCGTGGAACACTGTAATTGTGGAGAAGAACTTGAGAACAATCGACCTGTGCGAAATCCTTAAAGTCAAAAAAAATACTAGCGGTATCGCCTGGTCTATATGGGAAACGTGGCCGGACCTAGGAATTGGTAAGAGTCTTATAAACTTTTCTCTATATATATATATATATATACGATATTATTATCGTCGGAAGTCACTGCAAGCCCCATTACTTTCGTAATTTGCAAACTCGCTTCGTACTTAAAATTTTTATTACTCCCCCCCCCCCCAGTGTATACCCAACACGTTCATGGAAAAGAAAGTGGCAATTTAATAGTCACAGATGCCTACAAAAGTTTGTTTTATATTTATAATATTATTAACCCTGCAACTCGTACTCTAGTTTCAAGTTAAAAAGCACTTTAAACAGACAGAGCAAAGAATTACCCTCGAAAATTTACTCGACAACTTTCTGTTTTATTTATCTTCTTATTGCTCGTTCAGAAATGTTGGCGCGTTTTTGTTTTATATTTATTATGTGTTTGTTTCTTTTTATTTTTGTGAGTTGAGAAATATTTTTAAAAACATACATTCACAGAGTGATTTTGCATAAAAGTTCTTTATAATGTTGACTTCTTTCATCACGTATATACATCGTTAAAAATTAATTCTCATTTTAAGAACCATTTTTCAACGAAAAACTCAATTGACCTCTGAAACTTATAATATTTAAAAATCAGAGATGTAAAAAAGACTTAAAGATTGTTGAGAATTAATTTAAGACGAAAATTGACCTGAAGCACTCAGGGTTGAAAGAAAAATTTAATTTTGTTTTTTCCTGATTTCCAGACAAAATTTTTGTCTTTTTCCCTGACCCTAAAGAATATTCTGATTCACGCTAAAAATTATTAGATACTCAAAAAAATGTTCTATTACATTTAATTACGAATTTCTCTAATTGTAAAATCTCTAAAATTGTAATTGTAAAATTTTGTTTATTCGGAAATTCTCTAATTAATTATATATTTTTACAGTAAAAAAAACACGAATAATAATAATAAAACATAGAAAATAAAAACATGAAATAATTTTTTAAAAAATTCAATTAAACTTTTTCAAAAAAAATTAATTCTACAGAATTGTTTGTTAAAAGTATGAAAAATTAAGATTTTCAAAGATATTAATTTGAAACCTTTTCAAAATTAAATTATTTCTAAATATTTACTCTGTAATGCTTTTAAGTGTCAAATGATTATCTGAAATTTTAACTGAAATCCATTTTTTAATCAATATTTCTTAGAAAATTCTACGAAAATTGAATTATTTATTTATTTCTCTATTTTACTATCAATTAAATACAAAAATAAATAATTTATTCAATAATTGAATTTTTCTCAAAATTGAATTCTCATAAAAAATATTATCAATAAATTTTTAAATAATTAAATTCTTTCGACGAATTTTAATAGAATTTTTAAGAATAATCACATTTTTCGAGAAATTCGATAAAAATTGAAATTCTGCGATGAGTTTTATTATTTATGGAAATAATTGAATTCCTAAAAAGAATTTTATTATTTACGAAAACAATTGAATCTCTATAAAAAAAATGGAAAGATAATAGTTTATGAAAATAATGGAATTATTACGAAGAAATTAATAACAAATTTGTAAATAGTTGAGTTCTTTGTAAATAATATTGAATTCTTGTGAATTTTTATTATTTATGAAAATAATTTAACGATTTCGTAGAATTTCATCGAAATTTGTTTTAAACAATTGAATTCTTTGTGAAATTTTTATTAAAATAGTAGATATTGAAAATCATTGAATTGAGGAAAATTTTTAAAAATAATTTCAATTTGGTCAAGAATTTTATTAAATTTTTTTAAAATAATCGAATTTTGGAGAAGAATATTGATATTTGAAATTTTGATGAGAATGTTTTTAAATTTTTGAACAATAAATAATTTTTTTTGAAAATTGAGCTAAAGTTTTTCAAAAAAATTAATTGTGCAGAATTGTTTGTTAAAAGTATGAAAAATTCAGATTTTCAAAGATATTAATTTGAAACCTTTTCAAAAATAAATAATTTCTAAAAATTTACTCTGTAATGCTTTTAATGTTCAACGATTATCTAAAATTTTAACTGTAATCCATTTTTTAATCAATATTTATTAGAAAATAAAAAAAATAGGATGCAAGTTATTATTTTTTTTCAACGAAGAACAGAATATTGTTAATAAATGGTGATAAAAATAGTAATTTTATAACATTTTTTTTCTTTTTGAAAAAGAAACATATAATTTTGTATAAACAGAATTGTGATTAAGAAACAGAAAGTATGTAAATTAATTTCTATTTCTTAATATTAGTTTTTTAACAATAATTTTCAAAATTTTATCAAAATTATGAAATTTTATAAACTTTAGGAAAATAAATATTAGAAATCATAACTTTTTAGAAAAACTTTTCTTAGAAATTAAAACTTGTTAGAAAAACTTTTTTTAGAAATCACATTTTATTCGAAATCGCTTTTTTTAGACAGAAAAGATTAGAAAATATTTTTTAGAAAAAGTGACCACCTACTGAAATTCATTTTTTAATCAATATATTTAAGAATAATTAAATTTTTCTAGGAAATCGATTAAAATTGTATTAAAAATAATTAAAATTCTGCAATGAGTTTTATTTTTTATAAAAATAATTGAATTCCTAAAAAGAGTTTTATTATTATTTATGAAAATAATTGAATCCATGTAAAAATGTTATTATTTATGAAAATAACTGAATGATTGAGAAAAAATTTGTAAATAATTGAATTCTTGTGAAATTTGTATTATTTTATGAAAATAATTAAAGGTTTGCGTAGAATTTTATTAAATTTTTTTTAAATAATTGAATTCTTTCGGAAAATTTAATTAAAATAGTAGATATTAAAAATTATTGAATTAAGGAAATTTTTTGAAAATAATTGCAATTTGGCCAAGAATTTTATTAAAAATTTGGAAAATAATTGAATTTCGGAGAAGAATTTTATTATTTATAAAAATAATTGAAATTTTGACGAGAATTTGTTTAAATTTTTTATCATAATTAAATTTCTGCGAAGAATTTTATTACTTTTGAAAATAATTGAATTTCTGAAATCATTTGTAACTTTTTAAAAATAAAACTTTTTTTCGTGTTTTTAACTAAAATTCTTCTGTAAGTGCATTAATTTTAATAATTTTTGAAAATTCATTTTTAATTCAATTTTAAATAATCTAGTTAAAAATCGTAATTAACAAATAGAAATTATAGGGATTTTTTCCCTAAAGATATTTTAAATTTTCTAAAAAGTGTTTTATAAATAAATTAATTTTGGAAATTTTGGTATAAAAATAATGTAAATTATTATTTTTTTTTCAAAGAAGAACAGAATATTGTTAACAAATTGTGATAAAAATAGTAATTTTATAACATTTTTCTTTCTTTTTCAAAAAAAAAAAACACAATTTTGTATAAACAGAATTGTGATTAAGAAACAGAAAATATGTCAAATAATTTCTATTTCTTAATCTTTGATTTTTAACAATAATTTTCAAACTTTTATCAAAATTATGGAATTTTATAAATTTTAGGAAAATAAATATTAGAAATCATAACTTTTTAGAAAAACTTTTCTTAGAAATTAAAACTTGTTAGAAAAACTTTTTTTAGAAATCACATTTTATTCGAAATCGCTTTTTTTAGACAGAAAAGATTAGAAAATATTTTTTAGAAAAAGTGACCACCTACTGAAATTCATTTTTTAATCAATATATTTAAGAATAATTACATTTTTCTAGGAATTCGATTAAAATTGAAATTCTCCGATAAGTTTTATTATTTATGAAAATAATTGAATTCCAAAATAGAAATTTTCTATTTACGAAAATAATTGAATCTCTGTAAAGAACAATTGTAATAGTTAATGAAAATAATGGAATTATTACGAAAAAATTTATAACAAATTTGTAAATAATTGAATTCTTGTAAATTTTTATTAGTTATGAAAATAATTAAATGTTTTCGTAGAATTTTATCAAAATTTGTTTTAAATATTTGAATTTTTTTGTCAAAATTGTATTAAAATAATAGCAGATATTGAAAATTATTGAATTGAGGAAAATTTTTGAAATTAATTGCCATTTGGTCAAGAATTTTATTAAATTTATTTAAAATAATTGAATTTCGAAGAAGAATTTTATTATTTATAAATATAATTGAAATTTTGACGAGAATTTAAAAAAATTTGTTAACATAATAGAATTTTTGCAATCATTTGTAACTTCTTTAAATGCAAATTTTTTAGTGTTTGAAAACTAAAATTCTTCTATAAATTCATTATTTGAAATATTACAGTTTTTCAAAAATCTAAGTTCTTTAAAATTTCTAATTAAATTAATTCAAAATTGAGGTTTCATAAAAAAAAGAATTGAAGGTTTCGTGATAATTTCATAGTTTATTAGGCAAACAAAATAAACACCAAAATTCACAATTTTCTTATGAATTCTAAAAATTTAATTTTTTCCAGTACTTTTAATAAAAATCTCTGACTTTTCTCTGACTTCCCTGACCTGTGGCAACTCTATAAATTTATTGTAATATTTTTAATCTTAAGAATGTTGTTTCTTACACTAAGAAAACATTGTTTTCGATTCAAGTAAAAAAATAATTTTAAGTGATTTTGTTTAGTTGAAATTAGTTTGTAAGCTTAATTCCAATATAGAATATATAGAAAATATCTACTGCTTTGATTCAAAATTAATATTTGTTTGAATAATTATGTTTAATTCAAACATATTTTCTCTTTTGGTTTAAACAAAAAATATGTTTAAAAATGTTATGTTTAATTCAAACTTAAAAGTTGATTATAAATAATTTAAAATTAACCATAAATTATGTTTCAATTAAATATATTATTTTTTAATGAATGAACCAAAAAATATATTTAAATTAAACTTAAATTTATTTGACTGTATAGCAAAGATATTTTAAGTTTGATTTGAACAAAATTTGTTTGAATCAAATAAATCGTTTTCTCATTGTAGAAAAATATATTTTTTGATTTTTAAATTAAGTAACATAATAATTATATAAATATCTTTTTACTAAGGATAAAAAT